GCTGTCGTGCACCCGCCGTTCGTCCGTCGCGCCTCCGCCATCTCAGGCCCGCCGTTCGTCCGTCGCGCCTCCGCCATCTCAGGCCCACCGTTCGTCCATCGTGCTGCCGTGTACCTTCACAAGCCCATCCGCCGTGCATCCGGCGCGACCATTATGCCGCCGAGAACCACAGCGGGTCCGACAATAACGACAGCAACTCCTTGCCGATGACTGTGACATGTTTCCGGCCGGGAGATTAGGACAGGCGGTGACTGGCGGGCAGAGGGCGGCTGCAGCTGACCTTCTGTGTGTGTGTGTGTGTTCTATGTGTGTTGTGTCATCTGTGCAATGACAAATATTTTTCTGTTTTCGGCTATTATTATAAAATATATTTCACACATTATTAATTAAATAATAATATACATTTTAGAATTTAATAGACAATTAGGCATTTAAATAAAATAATAACAATAATAATAATAATAATGACAATAATATTAAATAAAAATTCCAATTATTCCATAAACGAACGGAGCGCTATCGTCTGGGAACAAAGCTAACTTGAGCTGGGCCAATTAATAGTGGAAGGGTCGGCTTCAAACGGTTAGTCAACACCTTAGTCACCAGTTTGTATATCACATTAAGAAGACTAATGGGCCGAAACGTTTTGATATTTTCGGGGTTCTCCACTTTTGGAATGAGGACAAGGAGAGTTTTATTGATCTCCGGCGGCATCGCACCCCCGCCGAGGACATGTTTAACAAAACGGCAAACCATTGGTCCGACTAAGGGGAGTGCGGCTGATAGAAAAGAGCGTTCAGCCCATCAAGTCCCGGTGATTTTAGGGGTCCCATTTTCTTCAGAGCTTCCACAATCTCAATGTCCGAAATTTCTCTTTCCAGTGATGCAGCGAACTCAGGGATCATGTGTGGAAAGTACGAGAATGTGGACTGAGGGGGAGTGCGGCTGTCCTCGGCTGTAGGGTCCTCAATCGTGTTACCCGCCTCATCCTTGAGCGTTACAATTTTATTGTGATGTCTCCGAATCTTGGCTTGTCTATGGAAGAAAGTTGTGTTTTTATCCCCAAAAAGCGTCCAATCTCTGATCGATTTCTGGAGCAACAACAGTTCTTCGTGCATAAGGACTTCTTCAAGTTCCGTTCGCAGTCGTTGTTCAAGATCGAGAAGGCTGGGAGACTGGCGGTGTTGTAAGGCTCTCTGGATTCCGCCAATTCGAGCAAACAGTTATTGTTTCCTTTTAAAGATATTACCGAAGACTTCGTAGTTCCGTACCCTCGCCTTTTTTGCAAAGATTCGAAAAGCCTCTTCGAAATTCTGTCCATCCTTGAAGCAGCCTGATTCCACATCCCTGAAGCCCTCGTGTAGAAGCCATGGGGCCAACAAACGAAACAGTTTTGGTCCCTTGTTACTGGATTGTTGGGATGAGTAACGAACTAGCAGGGGGGTGTGGTCTGAATGTAGTCTAACGGGGTGCGTGACGAGTGCTTCTGCGAATGTTGACATCCACTTTTCATTACATAAGAATCTGCCTAACTGTTTTGGCCAGCCCTCCCCTGAACCACGTAAAATGAGTCCCATCAGTTCGGACTTCGTGCAAATTACCATAAAAAATGAAGTCAGAAAAATGCGGGCATATCCGGCCTCCGCTCCTCACACCACCAGCTTGCTCCGACGTTTGACGTATACAATTCCTATCTCCCCCTAAAAGCCAGGGGCTCGTGGTCGTCTGAGATAGCTCTTCCAACTCCAGCCACAAATCACGGCGTCCTCTAGGGTTCGGAGATGCATAGACAAAAGTGACAGTAGCCTCAACGTTATTAATGGTCAGTGAGAGGTGAATAAATTGCTTATGATATCGCATGATCTGCACCTCAACGCTTTCCTTCTATAAGATCCATATTCCTCCAGAGTAGCCATTCGCCTCTACCCTGAAGGATCGAGGGAATCCACTTCGTCGAATAAACCCATCAGCATTCCTTCCACTTATTCTGGCCGTACTTGGTTAATTGTTGTAGAGAAGGCTCTGATAAACCGTTTAGAGTCTGCCCCTTCAACGTTCCAGGATAATAAATTCATTAGTGTGGAAAACTACAAAGGCGGAGCCCGGATCACCAGCAAGCGTCTGCGTTGGATTCCATTTCCATGACCACATTGTCATCATCCATAATAGCACTCTCCTCGTCGGGTGGTTCCTTTAGATGCCACAGCCATTAAGACTGCCCGGGTATTCATCTATCGTGTCGTTCATTACGGATACACCCCCATTTCTCCCCGTAGAACTCTCGCTTTGTGGGTGTGCATCCACGAACCTGAACGCTTTATGCTTCGAAGGGTCCAGGTCACTTGAAACCGGGATCAACACTGTATGTACTCCCTCTGGTCCTTTGCTATTATCCATATTTTTCTTATTGCCCAAAGCACCAGATGCCTCTCCTTTTTGAGTTATTTGGGTATTCTCCTTAGCCCCAGTATTCTCTAAAACACCCAAATGGTGAGTGCTTTCCACCTCGAGTGTCTTCTTGTTCTTTTCCTTCTGGCCCATGTTATGATTGGTCATTCCCGAGAGAGCCTTCGTGGTGACTTTGGCCGTTCCATGCATATTAGTTATTTTTTTACCCCCTCTTAACCCCTGGCCTCCTTTCTTCATTGTTAAATGTAAAACTATGAGCTAATCCCTCCACATCTTCATGTCTTAGAGTTGTTTGGTTGGGACCCTGTCTAGTCTCTTCGTTGTCCTCCAAAGATAAGCTCTCAAAGCGGGAACCGACAGTCCTGTTGGAGATATGACGGGCTGTAGTAGATATATTCTTTTTTTGCGGTTGAGAATATTGTCGTGCCTTTTTTTGAGCCACCATCCATGGGCCAGGCCCGAAGTTCTGTGGGTCAACAGATGCTTTGTCTGGCCTTTAAGTCTCTTTGTTGTTATTTTGTGGGTCGGTCTCCGTCTTTATCTCGACCTTCATTAGTTGTAGTGGGGCAGCAAGCTTCCTGGTGACCGTACATTCCGCACGTAAAGCAAATGTCCGGCAATGATTCATATTCGACCCGTTGGAACCGCCCACATATTTCGAATCCAGCGCAAAGCGGTCTTGTCAGGTCTAATAGACATGTGAGGCGTGCATATTTGCCTCTGATTTTGGATGCCGTTTGATAGTCAATCTTGACTACCTTACCAATGACTTTGCCCATATGCTGAAAGATTTTCCTGTCGTATAAGTGTACCGGCAGACCCGGCAAACGAACCCATGCTACAACTTTGTTTACGCGTAGATCATCAGCACTGAAATCCACAGTCCAAGGTTGCACGTGTAGGTAGTGATCAAAGATTACCCACGGGCCACCTGTCAGAGCTCTCAGCTGATCCTCGGACGTGTTAAAACGAATGACATAGTAACCATTCGCCAAATCCATTATCGGTTCCCCTTTTATTTCTGGCCAAAGCGCCAAAAGTCGATTGTGTAGCGACAAGGGAGAGATGGTACGTCCCAGGAGTCGCACAATGATTGCGTGTTTCCAGTCCTGTAGAAGGTGGTCCGTAAAGGGGTCAGAAAGAAGAATGCAGGCAAGGCGTCCATTAAACTCGACCTTAATATCCTGGTCCTCTTTGTCGTCATCTGCATTCGGGAGAATTTCGACATGGGGACGGTTCTTATTCAGCATACATCATGTCCCGGAAGGACTTCTGTGGTTCCTCCAGGCTTGGGAATTTCTTCAACGGGTTACGGGTATTCGTGTCTGCTTGTGTTTCAACGGTCCCTTCTGACCTGCATTTTTTGGAAGATCGATCCTTCGAGGACGAGGCAATATATGCCTCCTGTAATGAGGGGAATATTGGGGGGTTCGGGTCTGGTGGTTTTCCACAGGAATACCCGGCGGGTGTCCCTTTTCGACAGACATACTTTGGTGATTGGTAGCGTACTCACTCTCTTTGGGGCAAAATGGAACACTTCAGTTGCAGTTCTTCTTTGGGAGCGGGTATCTCTTTTTTTAAAAAAAAAGTTAAGTCCCAAATGTGTGTAATAATTAGTTACACAACAAATATTTCTATACAATACATTTATGTTTTAGTTATATGGTTGTATTTTTTAAATGGTTTATTGAAAAATATAGTGAATTGATATATAATGTAGGGAGATTCTACAG